AGTACATTGTTTTGGCAGACTCTACAGTCTTGAAAGTTGGCTTGTCTTCTCCCATTCCTTTCTAGGGTGCGACCTCAAGCCTATCTTTTAGTTAATTCTACAAAAAATATGGCCATGCTATAACGATTTATGAGAGCCTCACTCATCACTGTTCCTGTAACTATCAATTTTATTAGAACAAATTGAAATGTTTGAAAAGGTTAAAACTCTTCTCTAAAGCTATAATTTTGTTTGATCTCCTACAGGGCTTTCTATTATTTTTTTTTTTACTCCTCTCATCTGGGAGTTTATCAAAAGAGATGTTGCACCTCTTTCAGTAAGGAGTCAGGTCATCAACCAATTATCAAATTGAATATGAGAGGGCTACTATTACTTGTAGTGCTCAGATTTGGAGTACAAAACAGGTCCTTTGCTCTGCCTTCAGGAGTAAGTGTCAGAGATATTAGTACTTTGAGTTTCTTTTAATAAAAAACAATCTCAAAAAATGGCAAAATTAAAATCAGCTCAAGTTCTGCCACCTCAAGATATACACGGTTAAGATTTTGTTGATCACTTTCCTTTTATTCTAAAAATGTATTTAGGCTGGGTGTCATGGCTTGTGCCTGTAATTCCAACAGTTTGGGAAGTTGAGGCAGGAGGATTGCTTGAGCCCAGGAGTTTGAGACCAAGGCTAAGCAACATAGGGAGACCCTATTTCTACCAAAGGAAAAAAAATTAGCTGAGTGTGGTAGCGAGTGCCTATGAACCCAGCTATTCAGAAGGTTAAGGAGAGAGGATTGCTTGAGCTTGGGAGGTTGAGGCTACAGTGAGCTGTGATCACACCATTGCACTCCAGCCTGGGTGACAGAGCAAGACCCTGTTTCTTCCCCGGCAAAAAAACTCCATATCTGTATATTTATATCAGTATACATAGTTATGGATATGTTATTATAAAATGGGATATTATATGGTTTTACAATCTTTTTCCATTTGTTAGTTTGTGATTTTCTATATTAACAAAACTGTATCTACTCAGGCATAAAATTCAATTGTACAGATGGTTACTTAAGTAAAGTCCAGTGGGAAATCTGGTTTAAGGGGTGGCAGGATTATGCTCAAACAATGTTCTGAGGTCTGCTTCTCTCTTTTCTATTTGTGTTCCCTTCTGCTGCCTTGGTGCCATTCACATGTTGCACACAGGGCAGCAGTTCAAGTATATGCATCCAGGATCTTGGCTGGTGGAGGAGAGCAAGACTCTGTTCCAGCACTAATTATGAAAACCTCATTGCGTCGTGTTGGTCCCATAGCAATATCTGATCATACCATTGTAGCTTATTCCTGAGTTACATGACACACTCTTGGAATCCAAGTGTTGCACTAGGATAACATAGACTGAGAATGGGGAAGGGAGGGAAGTAGGGAGAGGTGGGCTCCAGAGGGAAATGGGAGGAGGTTATCAGAAGGAGAGTGAATGAATGTTGGGTGGCCCAAATCACAGGCCCACAGTCCATACACTTGGACATTTGGAACTTGTTTTGTATTGGTTTCCTAGGGCTTTCATGACAAAGTACCACAAACTGAGTGAGTTTGTTTTTTTTTTTGTGACAGAGTCTTGCTCAGTCACCAGGCTGGAGTACAGCGGTACTACCTCGGCTCACTGCAACCTCCACTTCCTGGGTTCAAGTGATTCCGCTGTCTCAGCCTCCCAAGTAGCTGGGACTACAGGCATGTGCCACCATGCCCAGCTAATTTTTTTTCCTATTTTTAGTAGAGGCGGGGTTTCACCATGTTAGCCAGGACGGTCTCAATCTCTTGACCTCGTGATCTGCCTGCCTCAGCCTCCCAAAGTGCTTGGATTACAGGTGAGCCACTGCGCCAGGCCCAAACTGGGTGATTTGCAAACAGATCTCACTGTTCTGGAGGTTGGAAGTCCAAGATCAACATGTCCACAGGGTTAGCCCATTCTGAGGGCTGTAAGGGAGAATCTGTTCCATGGCTCTCTCCTAGCTTTTGGCACTTTGTTGGCAGTCTTTGGTGGTTGTTGGCTTGTAGATGTGTAATCCTGATCTCATGTTCACATAGTATTCTTTCTGTGTGCACAGTGTGACCACAGTTCTTTATTTATTTTTAAATAAAGACACGTCATATTGGGTTAGGGATCCTTCCTACGGTAATATGACTGCATTTTTAATTAATTACATCTGCACTGATCCTACTGCCAAATAAGATTGCATTCTAAGGTACTAGGTGTTAGGGCTTCAACATATGAATTTTGGGGGTCACGATTCAACCCAACACATTTCCACCATTTTTGTATTTCTGGCTACTTCTAAGACCCATTCAGTGTGAATGCCAAAACTAGCTGCCTCCCTCTTTCTGCTGCATGGGCTAGGAGATTGGACGAGGCCAACTCCAGGGTCCCTTCCATTTAGCTTCACGATTGAGTGTCAGGGCTAGGAATCCATCCTGCCGTCTGAATGTACATTTCAGTCCCACTGCTTACTAGCTCAGGGACTTTGGGCAAGGGGCTTAACCTCTGCAAACTTCAGTCTCCTCAACCAGTAAAATGAAGATAAGAGTCCTTCACCCACTGGTTTCTTGTAGGTTAGACACATAGTCTTCAGTAAATGTCAGGCAGTGTGACTGTTCCACCTCGCTGAGGATGTAAGGACTGCAGAGCTAGGAGAAGAACCTATATAACTCCTAGTGTTCTCATCCTCTCATGATAATTCAGCACCATAATTTCTTCGGAGGTTCTCTTGTTAGAACTTCAAGAGGGAGGCCGGGCACAGTGGCTCACGCCTGTAATCCCAGCACTTTGGGAGGCCGAGGTGGGTAGATCACCTGAGGTGAGTAGATAAAGACCAGCCTGACTGACCTGGTGAAACCAAGTTGTCTCTACTAAATACAATATGGTCTCTCCTAGACACAAAAAATTAGCTGGGCATGGTGGTGCATGCCTGTAATCCCAGCTACTTGGGAGGCAGAAGAATCACTTGAACCCACGAGGCCAGAGGTTGCAGTGAGTCGAGATTGTGCCATTGTACTCCAGCCTGGGCAACAAGAGTGAAACTCAGTCTCAAAAAAAAAAAAAAGAACTTTAAGAGGGAAAAGGGTTTCTTTCTTATCTTGCAAACCAGAACTCAAATCCAGCTTAGGAACGCTAAGTATTTTTCTCTCTCCCCTAAAGCTAGATGCCATAAATTCTGAGCCAACTCCTTTTCATTTAGGCAATGTGATTATTAAATACCTGTCCTCCTTAGGTTCCTCTTATCTCTTTCTCTCTTATCTCGTTTTCTTTTATAACTTGATTTTTCCCACCAGCTTTCAGATGTGGGCTGGAACCAGTATTTTATTTACAACGTCTCTCTTTTTGGCTCCAGAAATAAGGGGAAATGGAACAGACGTGTGCTGCTTTCCCAGGAAGCACATCTTTAGTTCTTTTATGCTTTAACTACAGAGTCTAATTCGGCTTGCCTAAATGTTTATTCAGTAACAACTTTGAGTTCTTGCAGGTAGCAGAACCTAGCTGATACAGGTGTATTAGGCCTTCAACAGGGTCAAAGGATGAGGAGGTGCCATTCACCTTTAAAAAATGTGGTCACTTTCATTAGTGCCAGGTGGTGTTCTAAGAACCAGGAATATAACAATGAACAAGAGAGCCTGCTTCTGAGGAGTGCACATTCTGGAACATTCATTCCTGCAGAAAATATATAATGAGAACATATTACCTGTTAGCTATTGTTCATCATTAAACAAAACAGAAACAATCTCTGCACTGATGGTTATGTTATGTTATGGGTGGTGGCAGGAGAGGGGGAAGAGTACAGTACACATACGTACATTTAAAAAATTCTGGTAAAAGGTGATAAATCCCATGGAAGAAACTAAGTAGGGTAAGGAGGATTAGGAATATTGGAAAGATTTACAAGTTTAAATAGGACGATCAGGTAGGTGATACTTGAACAAAAAGACTTGAAGGAAAATGAGGAAGGGAGACTCAATATTCGGGGGCCAAGCAAGTCAAAAGGCCCGGCGGGCATGAGTGTGCCCTGCTTTTTCAAGGAGAGTCAGGAGGCCAGTTTAGCTGGAGAAGAGTGAGCAAGGTAAGAACAGGAGGAAATGTGGTTGGGGGCAGATCAAACAGAGCTTTCATCCTGAGTGAAACCAGGAATCAGTGAAAAGTGCTGAGTAGAGAAGTGACCCAGTCTCAGGCTTCAAAGGACTGGTCTGGCGGCCGTGTTCAGGCTCCACTGTGCAGGGGCGGGGTGTTGGGGGAGAGCTGGGGGCTGTTGTAACCACATGGGTGGGGTGCTAGTGATGCACCCCAGAGGGTGGCAGGTGGAGGAGTGTGACACGGTCAGATTAGGGATCTATTTTGGAGGCAGGGTCAACAAGATTTCTGGCTGATTAGATGTGGGGTGTGAAAGAGAAGGGGCAGGGAGGGTTTCTAAACTTTTGCCCCTAAAGAATGAAGTAGCCATTGATTGAGATGGCAAAGAAGACTGGTGGAGAACGTTTTGTTTTGCTTCGGTGCATTGTGAGTTCCAGGAGTTCCGTATGGACGTGAAGTTTGAAGGGCCTATTTACCATCCAAGTGGAGCGGGTGGCTGGATTTTGAAGCTGTCTAGGGACATACTTTCGGGGACATTTCTAAAGCTTGAGACCCTGTTCCAAAGCCTTGAAGACCCTGTAGTGGTTCTTCCAGAGCCCGGCCACGTCCCTCTCCTCTCAGCCCTCCTAAACTAGGCCGGAAAATTCCTGGGACAGTAGCCCCTTTATTCGGCAAAGCTCTTTTTCTTCTTGGGGAAATGGCGAGAAAAACGAACAAAAATGAAGACACTCGGCAGCACTGTGCCCCTTCCCTGCTTGCTGCAGGGAGAGGCGAAGCTGACTGGCATCAAAGTGCAGGCCCCGCTCTGGGCCGCAAGCCCTGCGGCCGCGAACCCCAGCTCCAGGCGGGTGGGCGGGGCACGGGGTGGGCGGGGCCGAGGCGCATGCGCACGCCACCAGAGGGGGGCGTGGCCTACCAAGCGCGCCCGCCAGCTCTCGCGCCTCTCTCGCGCCGGCCCTTCCGCGGGTGATCAGCTGGTCTGCGCTCCCCTGACGTGGGCTGGGGCACGTCACCGCCGAATGGCAGCCTCCAGAAAGCCACCGCGAGTAAGGTGAGGGCACTCCGCCGGGAGCCGGCGTCCGGGCAGCGTGCGGCTCCCACTGCGCGGCCGCGCTTGTGGCACCCCGCGGGCAGGGACCCGCGGGTGAGGAGCCGGGCCCGGCAGTCGGGCAAGGGCCCCGCTCGCCGTAACACCGGAGCGGGAGCAGGGGGAGGGGGCCATGAAGCCGGGCGAGATCCGGTTCGTTTCTGGCGGGTCGGTGGGCACAGGGGCGGCCCGAGCCCGGTCCCCGGACGCGTGTGCGGTGGAACTGCCCTGCTCGGCCCGAGGGGGCGGTGGCCGTCTCCGCCACCGGCCCGCGGGAAGGCCCAGCTGTTGGAGGAAGTTGGCCCCTCCTGGCCCCTCCTCTTGCCCGGGAGGTGGGCGAGCCCCTGTCCTCGCCTCTGTTTCCTAGGAATCTAAACCTCAAGTTACAATCTCGACAATACTGACACCTGCAATTCTCTCTACTGATCTGTCACTTCCACAAAGATAGACGGTTGCGGGCCCCTCCCCACTCAAACGGTTTCAGAGCCTGTGTCAGGGAATGTTTTGGTATAACCTCCAGGAAAAAGCCCCTAGTAGTGCCCTGGGCTCTCCTTCGGCACCAGAAGGTGAGAAGGATACTTTGCTGGCAACATGTTTTAGTTTATTCTTCTTTCAAAACCAGCGTATACTTATCAGAGCCTCTGACAAAGTGGGAGATGGAGAGAGGTGTTCAGAGTTCATGGAGGCCACAGGCCAGACTCCCTGGCCATCCCCAAGGGGTCACCCACCTGCTATCCACTTGAGTCATGAATGCACACACTTTGCAGCATGGCCAGGCTTTCTGGCTAAACACAGACCATGGCTCATGCTTGTGTTTGTAAGTAGGCGGGTCCCAAACCTACCTTGACCCGGACTTGCCCTTGCCACAGCTTGTTAGGGGTTAGCAGAAAAGCATACCCACCTTGTGGAAGTATGTGGGGAGGGGTGGGGAACTTCCATCTGTAAGGAGCTTCCTGTAAGTGAAGTGCTGGAAATGGATCAGGCAAGTGGATAATGATGAGTTAGGCTGTAGGCCCCGGGTGGCCTTCGAGTGTCAAGGTGATCTGTGCTAGGTTTATAGAATCACAGCCTTTTAGGAGCCGAAGAGTCTTTTCTATACCAGCTGGTAGAGTCTTTTTACCTCAAAGGAAAGTCCAGTGGAAGGCTGAGAGAGGGGAGGCCACTTTGCACAGGTACCTCCTTTACTGGTAGAATTTGAGTGCCATCCAGTGTAAAAGTGAGCACTTCTTCTAGTTTAGGTAATGGAAGCAACTCAAACTGACTTGAGCTGGGGTTGAGCTGGCTTCTAGTGTCTGAATCCAGGAGCTCCCCCAACACTGGCTTTAGACTTGGCTTCTCTTTTGCATCACTTGGCTCTGATTTATTCAGTATCGGCTTTGTTCTCAGGCTGACTTTTTCCTTATGGCAGGTTATGACAGTTCTAGGCTGACAGCCCCAGCAGAGAAGTTGAGTCCTCCTTCCTAATGGAGCAGAAGTCCCTGATCTGATTCTCACTGGGCTGACTTAATTCTCATGTTCATCTGTGAACCAATCATTATGGCCAGAGGGAGGGATTGACCAACCCTGGGTTCCAGATCCTGATGGGTGTGTGGATAAGACTCCTTTGAACCACCTGGGCTGAAATGGAGAGGGCACAGTTTCAAAAGGAAAACCAAGGTTCTCATCCAATGGAGGGATGGATTCTGGGTAGCCAAAGAATCTGAAGAATCTGGTTGCTTACTTTCCAACCTTAGAACTTGTTCCAGTTAACTCTTGTCTCATCCCACTAGGTGTGATTGAGCATCTCGTTCCGTGTTTTGCCCCATGCTGAACACTACACATGTGTGATTCCCATGGACTGGGGGTTGTGGGGGTTGGGGGGAAGAGGGGATGGGGCAGTGAGGTATTCAGAACACTACAGTTCTGAAAAAGAGAGGGAGAAGGCCTTTTCTAGTGCTGCCATAACCATCTTATACAAAGATTGAAAGTGCTCGACATACTTCTTGCCCCTTACCCATCTGGTGGCTCACCATGAAGTTGAGAAGGTGTAGGTTGAAGAAGTCCTGGAAAGGGTAGGAGCAGTGATCTGGAATTTGGGAGACCCGAACTGTGGTTCTAGCCAGCAGTTAGCTGTGAGGCCTTGAGCTAGTCATTTGATCTTTGTTTCTAGGTTTCCTGGTCTAGAGGAGGGAATTGAGTTGTGTAATCCCTGAGGTATATTCTTCTAGCTCTAACATTTAACAATAATTGTGCTTTGACAGATAATTTAAGAATTTTATCTGTCCTTATAAATAAGTGAAGGGTGGATATACCTTGGACTCTACGGAAATCAGGATATGACAAGAGCAGAGCAGCTGCAGTGTTTAGCTGCTTCCTGGCTCCTGTGATCCTGACAGAAAGGTGGAGGTGTTGATGCTCACATAGAGAGTTTAAGCTCGCCTGTCAGAGCTGGTTTCTGGTCTTGGCTTTGCATCTACTGAGTTATATGGCCTATGGTAAGTTATCCTTGTTTTTTCTTCTGTAAAATGAATGAATAGGTTTACCGCAGGATAACTGTGGCTGGGCATAGTGGCTCATACCTGTAACCCCAGCACTTTGGGAGGCTGAGATGGGAGGATCACTTGAGGCCAGGAGTTTGAGACCAGCCTGGGCAATATGGTGAGATCCTGTCTCTTCAGAAAATTAAAAAAAAAAAAAATCAGGTGGATGTGATGGCACATGATTGTAGTCTTAGGTCCTTGGGAGATTGCTTGAGCTTAGGAGTTTGAGGCTGCAGTAAGCTCTGATGGTGCCACTGCACTCCAGCCTGAGTGATACAGCAAGACCCTATCTCTAAAAAAAAGATAACCTTGCACCTGTAGTCATGTGTCTGAACCAGTCATTGGGATCAGTTACTTACCATCTTCGAAACTTACATATGAAGTAATGGGAACTTGGGTTGGAATGTTATAACAAGAAAGAGTTGTTATAAGACTTATAACAGCTTTATTGAGATACAGTTCACTTACATACAATTCATCTATCTGTTAAAATGTACAATTCAAGTTATTAGTATAGTCACAGAGTTGTACAACTATCACCCCAATCATTTTAGGATTTTCTTCATCCCAGAAGAAATCCGGTTACCCATAATCAGTCACTCCTCATTTTTCCCAGCCTCACCTCAGCCCTTGGCAACCATTAACACTGCATGCCTACTTCCTGTCTTTATAGATTTGCCTATTCTGGACATTTTGTGTGAATAGAGTCATATACTATGTGGTCTTTTGTATCAGGCATTTTTCCCTTAGCATGTTTTCAAGGTTCATCTATGTCGTAGGTGTTGATTTCTTTTTATTGCCAAATAACATTCCATTGTATGGATAGAGACTTTTATTAATCCATTCAACAGTTGGGCATTTGAGTTCTTTCTACATTTTGGCTGTTACAGATAATGCAGCTATGTATATTTGTGTACAACTTTTTATAAGGATGTATATATATTTTCTTGACTATATATGTAGGAATTGTCTTCCAAAGCCATTATACCATTTTACATTCTTACCAGGAATGTTGGAGAGTTCTAATTTTTCCATACCTTCACCCATACTTGTTATTATCAGTCTTTTTTATTATAACCTTCCTAGTGGGTGTGAAGTGGTATCTCACTGTGGTTTTAATTTGCATGTCTCTCTTTTTTTTTTTGACACTGAATCTCGCTATGTCACCCAGGCTGGAATGCAATGGCACACTCGGCTCACCGCAACCTCTGCCTCCCGGCTTCAAGCAATTCTCCTGCCTTAGTCTCCCGAGTAGCTGGGATTACAGGTGTCCACCACCACACATGGCTAATTTTTGTATTTTTAGTAGAGACGGGGTTTTGTCCTGTTGGTCTCAAACTCCTGACCTTGTGATCCGCCCACCTCGGCCTCCCAAAGTGCTGGGATTACAGACATGAGCCACTGTGCCTGGCCATTGATTTTCATTTCTCTAATGACTAATGATGTTGAGTATCTTTTCATGTACTTCTTGGTCATTTATGTACTTTTGCTGAAGAAATGTCTATTCAGATCCTTAGTCCATTTTAAAATTGGGTTATATGTCTTTTTATTGAGTTGTAGTAATTCTTTATATATTCTGGATGCTAGACTCAACAGATTTGCAGATATTTTCTCCCATTCTGTGGGCTGTCTACATTTTCTTGATGTTATCCTTTGAAACACAAACATTTTAAATTCTGATGAAGTCCAGTGTATCTCTTTTTTCTTTTGTTGCTATACTTTTTGATTAGTGTCTTAAGTCATTGCCTAATCCAACGTCAGGCAGACTTATGTTTTTGCTTTAAGAGTTTTACAGTTTAGCTCCTAGATTCATGCCTGTGATCCATTGTATATGGTATGAGGTGGGTTAAACTTCATTTTTCTTTTTTTTGAGACAGGGTCTCTCTGTGTCACCAAGGCTATACACTACAGGGGGGCGATCACAGCTCCCTGCTGCCTCGACCTCTCTGGCTTAAGTGATCCTCCCACCTCAGCCCACCTCAGCTTCCTAAGTAGCTGGGATCACAGGTGTGTACCACCAAACCTGGCTTGTTTTTGTATTTTTTGTAGAGATGGGTTTTGCCATGTTGCCCAGGCTAGTCTTGAACCCGTGGGCTCAGGCAATCTGCCTGCTTCAGTCTCCCAAATTGCTGGGATTAAAGATGTGAGCCATTGTGCCTGCCCTCCCTCCCAAACCCTTTTTTTTTGAGACAGAGTTGCTCTGTAACCTAAGCTGGAGTGCAGTGGTGCTATTATGGTTCACTGCAGCCTTAACCTCCAGGGCTTAAGTGATCCCGCCCACCTCAGCCTCCAGAGTAGCTGGGACTACCAGTGCATGCCACCATGCCTGGCTAATTTTTGTATTTTTTGTAAAAACGGAGTTTTGCCATGTTGGAAACTTTATTCTTTTACATGTGGATATTTAGTTGTCCTGGCACCATTTGTTGAGGCGGCTATTCCTTCCCCATTGAATGGTCTTGGCATCCTTCTCAAAAATCAGTTGACAGTAAATGTGAGGTTTTATTTCTAGACTCAGTTCTGTTTTACTCACTTGTAAGTCCATTCTTATGCTAGCACCATACTATCTTGATTACTATAGTTTTGTATTTAGGTTTGAAATTGGGAAGGGAGGGTTCTATTCAAAATTTTGTTCTTTTTCAAGATTGCTTTAGCTATTCTGGGTCCCTTGTGTTTCCATGTGAAGTTTAGAATCTGCTTGTCAATTTCAGCCTCCGAGCTATCTGGAATTTTGTCAGGGAATACATTGAGTCTATAGATCAATTTGGGAAGTACTGCCATCTTACCAATAGTAAACCTTCCAGTCCATGACCATGGAATAGCTTTTATTTATTTAGGTCTTCTTCAGTTACTTTCAGCAGTCTTTTTTGTTTTTATGTTGTACATTTTGTACTTCTTTTGTTAAATTTATTTCTAAGTATTTTTTGTTTTTGATGTTACTGTAAATGGACTTTTCTTAATTTTAGTTGTGGGTTGTTCATTACAAGGATATAGAAGTCAAATTGATTTCTTTAAATACTGGTTTTTGTATCCTGCATTCTTGATGAACTCAGTTATTAGTTCTCATTTTGTTTGTGGATTCTTTAGGATTTTCTATATTCAAGATTATGTCATTTGCAAATAGAGATAGTTTTACTTCTTCTTTTCTACTATGGATGCCTTTTGTTCCATTTTCTTGCCTACTTGCTCTAGATGGAACTTCTGGTACACTGTTGAATAGAAGTGCCAAGAGTAGACATCCCTGTATTGTTCCTGATCATAGGGGAAAGCATTCAGTCTTTCAATATTAAAAATAATGTTAGCTGTAGGTTTTATAAAACCCTTTGTCAGGTTGAGGAATTTTTCTTCTAGTTTGCTGAGTACTTTTATCTTGAAGGGGCATTAGATTTTGTCATGCTTTTTCTGCATTTATTGAGAAGATCTTGTAGATTTTGTTCTTTATTCTGTTAATAGGGTCTATTACAGTAATTGATTTTTCATATATTAAGCCAACCTTGTATTCCTGGGATAAATCCCACTTGGCAATGATGGTTTATGGTCTTTTTTTATATTGTTCTGGATTCAGTTAGCTAGTATTTTGTTGAGGATATTTGTACTTATATTTAGAAGACATATTGGGGTGTCTTACGTTTTTATGAAAGAATAATATGTTTGCCCTAGGTAAGAACTTCTCATTCTGTCCAGCAAAACTAAAGTCATATGAAACCAGACCTACAGTCATTGGTAAAGCTGTCTAGTTACATGGTTCTTGCCATGGTGGTAGACTGAGCTAATGTGGCCCTCTCTGTCTTTACCAACATGTATAATTTAACATGTAAGTTAAATTATAACTTAATTAACTTTGAGTTCATAGCTGAGTAAAATTCAAAACCTTTTCTGTGACCCACAGTGAGCCCCCTAGTGCCTCTATGATCTTGTCTGTAAACCACTTACCTCCCCATCCCCTGATACAAACACACGGCACTGGCCTTCCTGCTTTTCCTCAGATACACTAGTCATACTTCTGCCTCAAGGCCTTTGCACTTGCTGTTCTTTTTTTGGAATGTTGTTCCCCTAGCCATTCACATGGCTTGCTTCCTCACTCTTTTTAAGTCTGTGCTAAAATGTTGTCTGTTACCAGAGAGGCTGTCCCTGGCTACCCCATATGAAATCATCCTTCCCCTTACCTTCTTGATGTTTTCTTCTCCTCGCTCTGCTTTACTTTTTTTTAAAAAAATGCGTTCTTATTACCTGACATACTGTGTACTTGTTTTGTGTCTGTTGCCTTCTCTTCCTTGACCTCTCCCCACTCTTCCTGCTTTGTCCCTTGTAAATTTGTTAAAGTCACAGATCTTGTCTATTTTGTTCACTGTTGTGCCCAGAATAGGGCCTGGATTATGGCATAGTTTTCAATAAATATTTGTTGACTGAATGAACTTGAAAGAAAGAGAAATCTTCAAGTGCCAAAAATTTAAAGGGAACTTAATGCCTGAATGGTATACTAGTAACCTGAGCCTGTGAAAGTTGTCAGATGCAGATATAGACCTCCATGCCTGGTGTCCAGGGCATTAGACTATCCCCATATGGGAACAAGAAGTTTGTGTGCAAATCTGCCAGCTAAGAAATTAATGTGAAAGTCTTAGAAGCAAACAATAACAGAACTGCTTGTACAAACCAGGACACATCACATTCTTATAGATAAATAGCCTCTATTGAAGTTAAGCTCTTAATAAAAGATCACAAAGTACAGAAGGAATGAACCACCAAGAAGGAGAGGCAGCAGACTTAGCAAACATTGAGGGTTACTCTCCAAAGATCTATTGGAAAGTATGGGAGAAATTATAAAATAAGGGCCTAAAATGACAAAGGTATGAAGAGAAGGCATTTTTTCACAGAGTGAAACAATAGGACACCATAAAGAAAGAATGAGGAGATATGAAAAAGAATCAACTAGAACCTATATAAGGAAAAAAACATGATCATTGAAAATAAATCTTCTTAGTCTAGTTAAACTGGAGGTTAGACATAGCTGAAGAGGATTTATGAAGTGGAAGCTAGAGCTGAGAAAGTTTACCTGCAATGGTGATGTTTTACACCTGCAAGTTTTACATCAAACTATTTATTCTGCCACTGATACGGGGGTGCAAGTTCTTCTGACTCATGTAAGAGAACTGCTGAGTTAAGTGATGTCCTCTCTGACTGAGCCTTGCCACGTTTATTGTGGTCAAAGTCTGCAACTTCCTGTTCTTTCTCTCCTTAAGGGCGAACCACAAGGATTTTCAGCTGAGAAATTTAAGAATAATTGAACCTAACGAGGTGACACACTCAGGAGACACAGGTGTGGAAACAGGTAATAATTTTGTCTGGAAATTAGGTGGAATATCTGAAAAGGATTTGAGATCTCCGCCCCGACCCCAGGTTGCATGAGAAGAAGAGGGTAAGGAATTAGTAATAGATCATGACTGGGGTTGAGTATCTGGAAGTTAAAAATCATTTTGTTTTTTTGGCTTTCTAGGTAGTTGGTATATTTACCATTTTTTTAAGGTAGTAAGTTAAAGAATTACAGCTTTCTTTTTTCATTTTCCATTTTTGTAGGGGTGGTGGTGGTGGAGGAGGGGACAGGTTATTATTGAAAATGTTCTCTATTTCATTAATACAGTCCATTACTGATTGCCATATAAATTAGCTTTCAACTTTGATCATAAAATTGCAAAATGAGAAAAGTTTATAATATATTATTGTGCTTTATAAATTGAGTGTGCATTTAGGAAAGTCTTTTGGGAAATGTTTCTGGGCTGTCCCTTCTCCCCAGAACTGGTTAATTGTCTGATGGGTTACCAGAAACCTGAATTCTGAAAAGTGGTGTATTACTGTATTTCTGTTCCATGTAAGCCAGCATTGTTCTACCAACTACTCAGGAGAGCCATTTTTTTTTTTTTTTAGCTGACTGAAAAACTGATTTCTTGTAAGAAACCATGCCTATCTAATCTCTGTTTGGAACATCAATGCTATAATTGTATGCAGTTTTAGATCCTTTTCTTTAAAAAATATAGATGTATCCAACACATTTTGGTCCATATTAGGAGGTAGCAGAGGAAGGAGGAAAAAGAGGAAGTAAAGAAAGGAAAAAAGTGATGGAATCATCAAATTTAGAGTTGGAAGATAACTTCTTTTTCTTTTTGTAATGTATGAGGAAATAGAGGTTAGGGAGCTTCAGTTGCCTGAGGTTGTAGATCCCAGCTGGAAACTGGAGCTCACTTGTTTTGTTTCTGTTGGCCTTAGAATACGTTAAGCCTCTACTATGTCCCCTAGATAACATGGTGTAATAGAGCATGGACTTGGGAATTGCATAGACCTTGAGTCCTGGTTCCTGATGATCCAGCTGACTTGGGCAAGTACTTAACTCCTTTTAACTCCTGTTCGTTTATGTGTAAAATGAGAATAGTGAAACCTCCCTTGGAGGATTATTGTGAGAATTAGTCACTAATGTATGTAAAGCCCTTAGCCTCCCTCAGCTGTGCAACAGAGAAACAAACCACTACCTCTAAAGCTATTGATGCTGGAAGAGCATCTGTGCATGTGTTAAGATGCTGAAATTGGAGTAAAGTGGCCTCTTCCATTCTTATAACAAGACATGTAGGAATTCCAGCTGGTGCTTCAGATCCAGATTCAAATATTTCTTGAGCTCCTGCAGTGTATTAGATGCTGTGCATGGTGCTTTCACACACATTATCATGTTTAATTTGCCTGGCCACCAGTGAGGTAAGTATGGTATGCCTTTCATGTACAATCAGTGAAAAATCTTGTTAGTGATAAAGGCTGAAGATTTGGGAACTTATTTCTAAAAGCAGACCTATATGTGTAAGACTTTTAAGTGAGTCATTCTCTGTAAGGCAGAATTTGAAAATATCTGCCAGTGTATGGGCTAATGTTTCATTGTGGAGTAGGTCTGTTGCTCTTGGCTTCCCACTTTTGTGCACACTTTTCTTAGCTCTTGGCTGTTTCTAACATTTCTGAAAAGTCATAGGATGTGGAATGAGCAGATGTCATAATACGGCACCTTGCAGGAGCCTACCTTTCTTTTTTCACTGAAGATTCATTACTGTTTATGGAGTCTGAAAAGATCACAGACAGAATGTTGTGACTTTCATTTAGCTATCTTTCAGTGAGCATATGTATATGTTAGGTATAGATAGATGGATACAGAGGTGACATCATCCCTGCCTTCAGGAGAAGTGGCATACACACCTGTTACACCATTTATCACATTGCATTTATGGTTACTTGTGTGTCTAACTCTGATAACATTAAACATTTACATTTGTTATGTGCCAGGTACTGTTTCTAAGTGCTGTACCTATAGTAACTCATTTACTCCTTATAAAAATTATGAGGGTCATCAGCTGCAACTTTCACTTCCTCTGTCTTGGCTGCCTTTTCAACCAGTGCCATCTCTATGGCTGGGACTTACATAATGCTCCAATTTTGTTCTCTCCTTAGCTCCAGCTGCTCACCCATTCAGTTACTTCATTACCTGTTGTCCTTGTGACTACAGCTGCCTCAGCCACCAGGGCCCACTGTATTCACTTCACTGGTAGTTGCCTCACTGCCTCAGCCATTGCCTATTGCTGCCTTCTTCACCTCCACTGTTGCTGCTACTGCCCCTTACCACATCCTAACTATTGGTTATGGTATTGGGACTTCTTTCATCATGTCTGATAGTGATGATAAAGAAGTGGCTGCATTTCACCCAGATCATGAGCCAAATGTGATGGGCCTGAAGGATGAGGAGGTAGGAAGAGGGAAAGTGAGTGTCGACGGGGGCAGGTAGCATTGTGGAGGGGAGAGTCACAACTCTACTTCAATAAAGTGACACTGATGAGGCTGATGATTCTGTGGAGGTCTAATATGCCAGTCACGAGGGGAAACGTGGTGATGTGATGGTGGGAGTGAGGAGGCAGGTTGTAATGACCAGGAAGCAGAGGATGTTTTTGACCAGATCCACTTCGTCTTTGTTGGTTTTTAGTTTGCAGTTGAAGATTTTGTGCTCATCATTGGTTGTGTTGACTTTATTGATGGAGTTCGTGACAGATGATATTGATACTACAGTTAGCATTAAACAGCCAGTCAGTGCCCCCAAAATCCTTAAGTCAGGATGTGCCTAAATAGAAGGCAGATTCTATAAGGAAATAAATGATCTTGAAAGAAAGTATATTGGACTCTTAACATATATTTGCATTTTAAAATTCCTGAAGCCAAGGCTATACTCCAGACCCGTTAAGTCAGATGTTCCCCAGATAGTTCTAATGTGCAGCCAGTGTTGAAGTACTGCTTTTAAATAAATAAAGCTTCATTTTTGCTTGACTCTATTAAAGAATGATAACTTGCTCAGAAATATGGTTTGAAAACAATGATAAATCTATTCTGAAGCTCCTGAAAGATAATCAGAGTAAAATTTTTTAATGCTGGCAAGCTTGTGAGATCACAATGGGCTTTATTTTGAACCCCCAATGGATCAGACTAGATATTTCTGATCCCTTTCTCTGATAGGTGAGAAATTATAGGCCCAGTAGATTAGACAAAAGAAAGGATAGCTGGATGCGGCATTGTGTACCTGTAGTCCCACCTACTTGGGAGACTGGGGCAGGAGGATTGCTTGAGTCCAGGAGTCCAGCCTGGACAGTGTAGCAAGACCCTGTCTCCCCTGTTGGGGAGAGGGGAAAGAGTGCCCCTCTGAGCAATATTCAGAAGCAGCTGTAATGCAAGGAACATGGATATGCTTGAATTATGACTAGGACAGTTTCCATTGACTCTTCTTTGAGTACTTCTCTCTTTTGACACTCCTGAGATTAAGCCCTAAGACCTGCTGTTGAAGTTGGCCTTGCTGCAGATGATAAGTGGGGCACTCTTTCTATCTCAAGATCAGTATGGTATCCCATAGGGGATTCTATTGGAGATAACCATAACAACAGAGGCATAGAAGCCTAAGGTGCTGGTGATGATGAAGAGGTAGAAGCAAATGAGTATGTTAAAGAAAAAGATTCAAAAAAGGATCTATGCCCAGCAGGGTTTAAGCTACAGCAAGTCAGGATGTCAGTCCTTGAAGATCACCTCATATAATTTTCTTGATTTAACTCTCCATTACTTGCAGAATTATACGTTACAATGTTTTTCATTAAGCAAAATATTTTTATTTGTTAAAAAATGAGTTGGCAAACTCCAAAACGCCAAAAACACCGAATAACATGAAATCGTACGTCTACTCAAAACCTGCACACAAATGTTTATAGCAGCTTTATTCATAATTACCAGAACCTGGAAACAACCAAGATGCCCCTCAGGAGGTGACTGGATAAGTGGTGCATCCAGATAATGGAGTGTTATTCAGGGCTCAAGAAATGAGCTATCAAGCAATAAAAAGACATGGCGGGACCTTAAATATATATTCTTAAGTGAAAGAAGTCAATCTGGAAAGGCTACATATTGTGTGTTTCTAACTATATGACATTTTAGAAAAGGCAAAACCATGGAGACAGTAGAAAAGCTCAGTTATTGTCAGGGGTTAGAGGAGAATAGGCAGCCTATTCATTCGTCCTTCCCATTATATGTTTGTCAAAACCCATAGAATGTACAACACCACAAATTAACTCAGGAGTAAGCTATGGACTTAGGGTGATGATGATGTGTTAATGTAAGTTCATGTATTCTAGTAAATGTTCTACTCTGGTGGGGGATGCAGATAGTGGCAGGGGACTATGTGTGTGTTGGGGCTGAAGCTATATAGGAACTCTGTATTTTCTGCTCAGTTTTGCTGTGAACCTGTAACTGCTCTAAACAATAAAGTCTATTAACCCTAGAAGAAAACCTAGGTAATACCATTCAGGACACAGGCATGGGCAAAGACTTCATGACTAAAACACCAAAAGCAGTGGCAACAAAAGCCAAACTTGACAAATGGGCTCTAATTAAACTACAGAGCTTTCTGCACAGCCAAAGAAACTATCTTCAGAGTGAACAGCCAACCTATAGAATGGGAGAACATTTTTGCAATCTGTCCCTCTGGACAAATTAGCCAAAAGGCTAATATCCAGAATCTACAAAGAACTTAAACAAATTTACAAGAAAAGAACAACCCCATCAAAAAGTGGGCAAAGCATATGAACAGACACTTATCAAAAGAAGACATTTATGCAGCTAACAAACATATGAAAAAAAGTTCATCATTACTGGTCATTAGAGAAAGACAAATCAAAACCACAATGAGATACCATCTCATACCATTTACAATGGCCATCATTAAAAAGTCAGGAAACAACAGATGCTGAAGAGGATGTGGAGAAATAGGAACACTTTTATACTGTTGGTGAGAGTGTAAATTAATGCAACCATTGTGGAAGACAGTGTGGTGGTTCCTCAAGGATCTAGAACCAGAAATACCATTTGACCCAGGAATCCCATTACTGGGTATATACCCAAAGGATTAGAAATCATTCTACTTTAAAGACATGTACACGTGTATGTTTATTGTAGCACTATTCATGATAGCAAAGACTTGAAACCAACCCAAATGCCTATCAGTGATAGATTGGATAAAGAAAATGTAGCACATATACACCATGGAATACTATGTGGCCATAAAAAAGGATGTGTTCATATCCTTTGCAGGGACATGGATGAAACTGGAAACCATCGTTCTCAGCAAACTGACACAAAAACAGAAAACCCCAAACCACATGTTCTCACTCATAAGTGGAAGTTGAACAATGAGAGCACAGGGGAGGAGAACATCACACGCCGGGGCCTGTTGGAGGGTTGGAGGGCTAGGGGAAGCATAGCGTTAGGAGAAATACCCAATACAGATGACGGGTTGATGGGTGCAGAATACCACCATGACACATGTATACTTATGTAACAAACCTGCACGTTCTGCACATGTACTCCAGAACTTAAAAGTATAATAGTAATAGCAAAATAAAGTCTATGAAAAATGAGTTGGAAAAACTCATTATTATACTTTGAATTCTAATAGTATAATTTTGTGCCAGTATATGGGATATGGTGAAATATGCATGATCGCTATTCTATAATTGGCTCCTTCTGAAGTTGTTTTATTATGTGGACTTAGGATGACAGCTATGATGTTTATCAGAACATTAATATCAGTATTTGTTGAGAAAAGTTGTTTTCTCAACAAAGAACCAGCTAAAATGGTTAAGAGAGCTTGCATCATCTGTGCTTCCTAGTGAGTGTAAGAGACTATTCCTGTCTATAGATATAGTTGGAATAAATTTAAGAATTTCTAGTATGAGCACAGTTAATATCCTTAACATTTCATTTTACTTAGTTTTATATTTATGTTCATAATTTGTATTTTCTAAAGCTGGTGATTCCAGCTCTGGTTTTATTTGAATGATAGACTCCCCTGAGGCCTTGGGACTTCTTGGGGCTTAGTTTGGAAACTTTGGGTCCCATCCACTTTCTATACTTTAAAGAGGAGAACACAGAGCATTGAGGCCCTGATCCCCTTCTCCCTTGCACAGCTGGTTGATAGCAGGTATTCACTTGAAGATAAGACTTTTGACTCCTAGTGCACTGAACTTTCTTCTTTAAATTTGTTATTGGCTATTTAACGAAAGGTTTATAGAACATACTTCTTTTAAAGCAGTCAAATTTAAAAAGCAGAAAAATACAAGAAGAAAACAATTACTCCAAGTTTACTTACCCAAAGGTAACCACTGTTAACATTTGGGTGACTGTCCTTCTAGAAACTTCTCTCTGCATATATACATACACAATTAAAAAATATAAGAACAATCTATATGTGTTTTTTTTGTTGTTTTGTCATCTGTTTTTGATCACCCGCAAGTGTTGTCTAGGCATTTTTCCAAATCAACTATGTAATTCTTTTCTATGTCTGTGTAATTTTTAATGAGTATACAGTATACTGTTGTATGTATCATAGTTTAACTGATAATATACCTCGCCTGTTTTTTTCTACTATAAACAAAGACACTTAAATTTATGTGTACTTATTTATCTCTTATTCTTGAATAAAGTCCTAGGAGTAAAAGAGGAAAGCAGTTAGTTTGAGAATGGTTAATAGCTAAACTTTTCTGGCCACAATGGCTATTTGGAGGTAGTATTTAAGAACTGGGACCATTACTGTTTCTGGCAGCTGTGGTCTTGGTCTGGTGGTGGGGTGGTCAGGTTGAAGACCTAACTCTCGGAGTGGGGCAGAATATGGAAGGCACTTCTCTGTGGCCCACTTTGAACTGGACATTGAATTGCAGGGGCAGGCTGATTTTGAAATAAGCTCTCCTGTTGTTGCAGACAGCGGAATGCCTCCAAAGGTGACTTCAGAGCTGCTTCGGCAGCTGAGACAAGCCATGAGGAACTCTGAGTATGTGACTGAACCGATCCAGGCCTACATCATCCCGTCAGGAGATGCTCATCAGGTACTGCATGCAAAAGGACTGGTGGTGGAACTCTTCAGCCTCTTCTTTCTTTTCAGTCTTTTTTCCCCAGCCCTAATGTGTTTGTAGGATTATAACTGTCAACCTACAACCAGGCATGTCATTTAGGGCTTGCTGTGGGGTTCTGTGTCCAATAGGTCTCACTGAATGCTTGTGGATTGGTCCTGGCTTCCTTGATTCCAGTGACTTAGTCAGCTTTCAATAAATGTTGGAAGAATTAGTGGGCCAATTTAGGAACAGAAGTTTTGGACCTTTCTGTTGCTGGCATACTCCACATCTCCTCTGCCACACCTTGTCCCTAGCAGAATTGTTTGCCCTGCCTCTCTTTTGCCCAATCCAGGAGAGTTGGATTTGGAGAGGCAGAGACCTCATGTGATAGGGTTGACAGGCAGTAGGGTGAAAGGATTCTAGGATCCACTGTGAGGTCATTGAGTCAGCAAGTGTTTGAGTGCTTACACTGTGGTTATGGTATTTTAGGGTTCAAAGATGAACTTAATATTGAATGTCTGCTGTCACTGGGGTTATGGTTTAGTGAGAGATGAAATAATATAAAAGTGCTATTCTTCCATAGAATTATCTGTAAGTATAGTTTCCCCAGCCTTTGCTTATGTGTAAGGCCCTAACTATGTTGGTATTAGACATGATGCAGAGATGAAAATTGTTCCTGGTTTTAAGAAGCATACAGCGTAGCAATAGAGTTGAGATGTATATGCACATACCTGTATTGTAAGGTAGAATGTGGTAAGTGCAATCAAGAAAATCTGGACAGAGGCTGTGGAAGTTTGAGGGCGAGAGGGGAGGATGATGAAGAGCTTCATGGCATAGGGGAGGCATTTGAATTGGACCTTGAAGGATGGGTGAAGTTTGGGTAAATAGAGGGATGGAGTGGAGGAGGAGGAGAGAGGTTCTATGTAAAAGTATTAATAGCAGCAAAGGCAAAGAAACAGGGAAGCTTTGCATGCTTTCAGAAACAATGAGGTAAGTTTCCCTGGCAAGAGCCCAGGGAAGTAAAAAGCAATAGTGGAAAATAAAGCTGTTGTTATAGGATTCTTCAGTTGCAGGTAACAGAAACTGCCTTGAGATACCTTGAGCAATAAAAATGCTTTATAAGGATTCAAAGGCAAAGCCACCACATTGTCACAACTCCAGATTTATGAATGTTGCTTTCAGAATTATGCATGTCAGGGCCTCAGACAGGGTGTCTTGTGGAACCTGAGGGCAGGAATGCAGCAGGCCCTCATGAAGAACTGGGATGGGAGAGTTTTCAGGTCTTGCTGCATATCAGTTTCTCTTTTTCAGCCAACTGGGAGGGTCATATAAACCTGGCAACACCTACATTTATATCTTTTACTCTCTTACTTTCAAGATACTAGATTGAGCTAGAACCTTAATCCCCCAAATTCAAAGTCCAGGGTCAGAAGTTGATTGGCATATATAGCAACTTGGTTCTGCTTGGTCCTGGTTACTGTGTGTGTGTGTGTGTGGGTGTGTGTGTGTGATGTCATGTGGTACAGACATGAGTAATAGGGGTAATGGGGGACCACCAGTCCACCATGATGGAGGGGGTGGTAGATGAGGGTATTTTTGTAAGTTGAATAAAGAGCCCCAAAGATGTCCATTTTGGTTGGCTGACTTCCTGCTCCCCAAAGGTCCTAGTCTACGTGGTTGCGACAATGTCAGGCCTGTATTAACCAGGGAACAATCTCAAGATTGGATCTCTTCCTGGAGACGTGGGTTTCCAGGCCTTAGGAGCAACTGAAGGGCTGAAATGAATAAGCAAAGGGATTGGATATTTGAGGCAACAGCATGAAGTTTAGGATACTTTGACATTTAGAATAGCGTTCCCCAAACTGTGTTCTTCAGCATTCCTGTTTTATCTTATAAGATGGTCTACAAAAAAAAATTTGCTAGTTCAGAAAACAGTGAAATGAGCTGAACAGTGGTTTTTTTTATTGTGGCAAAAAATGTATTATATGACATTTATCATCTGAATCATTCAAAAATGTACAATACTGTAGTGTTAACTATGTATACATATTGTTGTGCAACAGATCTCTAGAACTTTTTCATCTTGTAAAATGAAACTGTATATCCATTAAACAGCCCCTCCCAGTCTCTCTCTTCCCCTCCTATCCCTGGTAACCACCATCCTACTTTCTCTAAGAGTTTGCCCACTTTAGATAACTGGTGTAATTAGAATCATGCAGTATTGTGACTAACTTATATCACTTAGCATAGTCTCCAAGATTCATCCATGTTGTAACATATGACAGGATTTCTTTCTTTTATGAGGCTGAATAATATTCCATTTTATTTAGAGGCCAAGAGGCCATTTTTTTTTTTAAACCTGTTCATCTGTGGATGGTCATTTCAGTTTTTTCCACCTCTTGGCTATTGTGAGTAATGTTGCAATGAATGCGGTTTTGCAAATATCTTTTTGAGATCCTGTTTTCCATTCTTTTGGATATATGCCCACAAGTGAGATTGTCAGATCATATGATCCTTCTATTTTTAATTTTTTGAGAACCTTCCATACTGTTTTCTGCAGCACCTGTACTATTTTGCATTCCCACCAATAGTGCACAGGGTTCCAGTTCTTCCACTTCCTCACCAATACTCGTTATTTTTTGTTTTGTTGTGAGGTGATGGCTCACTGTAGATTTGATTTGCATTACCTGATGATTAGTGATATTGAGTATCTTTTCATATGCTTTTTGGCCCCGTTTCTATATTTTCTTTGGAGAAAATGTCTATTCAAGTCCTTGGTCCCTATGAGTTTCATAACTGCAGGACTTCTCAGGGCCTTTAATATGCTGATGTGCACTCTGTACCTCTAAGGAGTTTCGGACTTTAATGTCCATGGAATTTTCCCAGTTATTTCAGGGTGGGGTGGGAGAATCTAGTGTTCCATGGAATACCTTTATATGTTGTTTCTATGATAGCACTTTTCAAACAATGTTGGGTCTTGCATGTGGAGATAGATGAAGGGAGGGGTGAGAGTGAGAGGTATATTCAGGCACCAGCTCATTGGCTGTTTGGCCTGGCAGAATATAGGAAAAGTAGAATATCACGCTGGAAGCAGGGTGGTGGCATGTGAGGATGCCATGAGGCTGGGTACATAACTGTTAGATTTAGTAGGCAGTGGGAAGGTGAGGATAGACTGGTGAGATTTAGGGTTGGCTTTGGTAATGAAATCCTTCCATTCATCTGTGTTCATTAGAATAGACAAATAAGATTGACCATCTTCAGGCCGGGAACGGTGGCTTATGCCTGTAATTCCAGCACTGTGGGAGGTTGAGGCGGGCGGATCACCTGATGTCAGGAGTTTGAGATCAGTCTGGTCAACATGGTGAAACCCCATCTCTATCAAAAAATGCAAAAATTAGTGGTGGCTCATGCCTGTAGTCCTGGCTACTTGGGAGGCTATGGTGGTTGCTTAAACCTGGGAGGCAGAGGTTGCAGTGAGCTGAGATCGTACCACTGCACTCCAGCGTAGGTGACAGAGCAAGACCCTGTCTCAACAAACAAATAAACGAAAAAAGATTGACCAACTTCATACGAAATAAACTGTCATCTTCCAAGGACTGGATGAGTAAGTAGGCTGGCCACTGTGATTTGGGCCTGAGTTATGGTAGGAGTCGTAGGTAGCAGAGAAGCTGGACACTCCCCCATTTAAGAAGGGAGACCTTGTTGCCTTGTCTTTAAGGAATTTTGTGTTTTCTTTTCTTTGATGAGATCTGTCTTGTTTCCTGTTGATCCTAGTCCTCAGCCTTTGGACATGGGCTTCATGTCACATGGATTCTCTGCTGGATTCACCAGTGGCATTTTTAATTTCCTGGCCTTTAGGCATTGGACAGTTGCCCTAGGCTGATTTGATTGCAGTCACCCTATCAGTGTTGAGCAGATGGTGATTCCTGCAACTGGAGCACATTATGATTATGTAGCAGTTGGTTTGGGTAGTTCTATAAGTCCCCTGGCGCTCTGAAATTAGGGCTCTCCTCTGAAAGGGTTTTCACAGGCTGTTATGGAGCTTCTTCTTAATAGCTTTGCTATTTGTGGGCTTCAGTGTACAGAAAGATTCTACCTGCTAATGTTACTTGAATTAAAAGTTGAACGTTTCTGGTTAAGGGTGTGTGGGAAGCTTTGTAGTCTTTGTATTTCAGTTTCAGTTTTCTTTTGCCTGGAGTTAGGATATTATCTGTGTGTTTACTAGTAGGAGACATTGACATCTTGTAGCTAAGTCAAATTTATCTTGATGTTCTTGGTCCTGTGTTCTGTTCCTTTGCCAGATTTTTTTTTTTTTTTTTTTTTTTTTTGTCATGACAAAGCTGATATTTGGATACTGGACCGATACTTAAAAACGTTCTCTTTGACAACAGGTATGGCCGAATACATCCAAAGCAATTCCTTTTGGGAGTGGCAGTGAGGCCATCCAAGCCTCAGGAGATGATCCAGGCTTTTCCTCTGCTGTTTATCTCCTACTAATGGTACTGCAATATTGGCTGTACCCAAGAGAATTGGATGGCTCTTCCCTCCATGAGGAAACTGAGGCTCTAATCCCAGACAGATGTGTTTTCTAGTAACATCCTGAAAACACAAAATGTGTCAAGCTTGCTCGGTGTTAGCTCTTATTGCAGAAGTCACTGTTTAGACTTCATAGACTTACATTTTTGCACTCTTGCTGTCCTTCCATCTTCATTATACCTCTCCACTTTTTCTTTTATAATCTTAACTGTCATTTCTATTGCTGTAGCTTAGCTGTCTGCCCTACATATGTGGGGAAGTTGTGTTTTGTTTGTTTGCATGTTTTCTGAATGCTGCTTGGGGCTAAGTCCTGGGGAAAATGCAGAGGGCAGGTAGTTAGCATATAGGTAAGAGTATGAGCTCTAGGGCCTCTCTGGGTTCAGATGCTAGATATGCCACTTACTAGTTGCTTGACTTCAGGCAAGTTACATAAAATTCTGAAGTGTCAGTTAAACTTT